GAGAGAGTGCCTCCATAGTAAAGTAACCTGTGATCAATCGGTATAGAATATGAATGTGTGAGATTCGAATTTGCAGGTTGAGGAGCTCCTTACAGCAGATAGAACCTCCATTTTGTCTAACAAGGACACAAATTGATCTCTTCAGGATGAATTAGAGCAGGAGTTCTCAACGTTAGTGTGTCTAAGGTGTTTAGAAAAAGAAAAAAAAAAACACCTTAGAGTCTAAGGTGTTTTTTTCCCTTTTTCTAAACACCTGAGACACACCCAGGTAATCCCCAAATCCTGGACTGGTAGGGGGTCCTGAGGACTGGGTTGAGAACCCCTGAATTAGAGTCTCTTGCCGGGCTCAGGATAATACCCTTGGCTCTCTAGGGTGGCACAAGGCTCAGAAACTTTGGGTACTTTGGCTGCATCCACCTCAGCAGGTACTCCTCTGTCCTCCTGGTCCACTAGTTTCTAGTTATTACTACTTGAGCTTGGGTACTATGCATTGAGGCCATTGTGTCTGTATCATTCTTCCCATGAGAGTGTGTATTTCTTCTCTTATAATCAAGAGAGAAGCCTGGAAAAGGCTTAATATCCCATTTGTGTCTGTATCTGATTTGTTGTCCGAAGACATGTGGTAGGCCTCGTTTCACAGGTATGTCATATCCAGAAGAAGAACCCTCAGTCAAGATGCTCCACATGGTGCTCGACTGTGTCAAGGTTCTCACCGAGACACATACAGACTGCCAGACGAGGTCGCCCCAGATGTGCCCAACAAAGGATTTGAACCTGGGTACTTTGCGGTCCTGGGCCTGTTGAAAGCCAAGGCAACACCTTGAACTCTTTGTCATGTTCCTCAAATCATGGATGGAGCTAAAACATACAGATTCCTGGAACAGCTCATAGCTTCAGCAACTTCTACATCTAAAACCCGGAGGCTTGCTTTATCGGTGAATAGTGTATTCTCTTGCAGACTTCTTTTTTGTAAATGAACCTTGTTACGCCACCTAGACATCAATCAGACAACCGGTCCTGTTACTTCCTGGTTTGGTTAGCTCACTGGTACTAAACTCAAGAGGCAGCAATTGCCTAGAGCACCTGTCTTTCAAATACTTCTCATTAGACTGTATTGGGAAGTCTGTGACTGGACAGCCGTGGAAAGTTTGGGCGGGGTTAGAAGAGGAGGACTTGCAAAGGCTGCAGACAAGAGGTTTTGCAAGCTGCTTTTAGATATAACCCCAATGAAAAAATTTATAATTAAATGCAAACACTTTCATTTGGGGTATTTCTACAGTGATTTAAAAAATTTAATATTTTTTATTTCTATTTGGTCAGTGGAAAACAAGGATAGTGATGCTCTCTGAAACATAACATGGTTACATAGCTGAAAAGAGACTTGCATCTATTAAGTTCAGCCTTCCTCACATTTGTTTTTGCTGTTGATAAATAAAAAAGGAAAAAAACCTAGTCAGAAGCGCTTCCAATTTTGCCACAAACTAGGAAAAAATTGCTCCTTAATCCCAAAACAGCAGTCAGATGTCTCCTTGTATCAAGCAGCTATTACCCCACTAATTAGAAATTATATCCCTGTATGTTATGTTTTTGTAAGTATTTATCCAATTGCCGTTTAAACATCTGTATGGACTCTGACAAAACCACCTCTTCAGGCAGAGAATTCCATATCCTTATTGCCTTTACTGTAAAAAAAACTTTTCTTTGCCTTAGATGAAATCTCCTTTCTTCCAGCCTAAATGTGTGACCTCGTGTCCTATGTTTAGCCCTGTTTATGAATAGATTTCCAGATAAAGGTTTGTACTGTCCCCGAATATATTTGTTAGGGATGTGCATCGGCAAAATATTTGCATTCCGAAATTCAGAACTTCGGGACTTTAGCACTTCAACACTTTGGTACTTAGGGTTAGGGTAGGGTTAGGGTTGGGTTAGAGGTAGGGTCAGGGGTAGGGTCAGGGTTGGGTTAGGGGTAGAGGTAGGGTTGGGTTAGGAGTAGGGTTAGGTTTGTGTTAGGAGTAGGGTTAGGGTTAGGAGTAGGTTTAGGGTTGGGTTAGGAGTAGGTTTGGATTAGGTAGGGTTAGGATTAGGAGTAGGGTTAGAGTTAGGAGTAGGGGGTTGGTTTGGGCAGGGTTAGGAGTAGGGTTAGGGTAGGGTTAGGAGTAGGGGTTGGTTAGGGTAGGGTTAGGGTTAGAAGTTGGGTTAGGAGTAGGGTTAGTGTTAGGTTTGGGTTAGGAATAGGAGTAGGGTTAGGGGTAGGAGTAGGGTTAGGATAGGGTTAGGAGTAAGGTTAGAAGTAGGGTTAGGAGTAGGATTAGGGGTATGGTAGGGTTATAAGTAGGGTTAGGTTAGGAGTAGGGTTAGAGGAAGGGTTAGGAGTAGGGTTAGGGTTGAGTTACCCCTACTCCTAACCCTACTCCTAACTCTAATCTAATCCCTACCCCTAGCCCTACTCATTACCCTACCCCTACCCTTTTTGCCACTTTTCAGAAGTCCAAAGCACTTCGGCACTATCGAAATTCAACACTTTGGCAATTAGGATTGGTTTGTCACTTTGGAAATTCGGCACTTCGGCCATTCGGAAGCATCCGAATGCCCGAAATTCATCCGAATTTCCGTTCGGACCGAACCGAATTGCACATGTCTAATTTGTATTATGTTATCATATCCCCTCTCAAGTGCTGTTTTTCCAAACTAATAAGATTTAAATTAACTAAAATGCTCCATTCCATTTATCAATTTTGTAGCTTGTCTCAGCACTTTTTCTAGTGCCAAAATATAATTTTACCTCTTTATAAATCGCTGGTAAGACCACACCTTGAATATGCTGTGCAATTTTGGGCACTTGTTCTAAAGAAAGACATTTCTTTAGAACAGGTGCCCAAAATTGCACAGCATATTCAAGGTGTGGTCTTCCCAGCAATTTATAAAGAGGCAAAATTATATTTTCATCCCTAGAATTTATGCCCCTTTTTATACATGACAAAACCTTACTGGCCTTAGCATCTGCAAATTGACATTGCATATTGCTGCCTAATTTCTTTGTTGTCTATAACAGTTCCCAAATCCTTCTCGTGTGGTGGTTATGCCTAATTCACTACCATTTAGTGTGTAAGTTGCTTGTGCATTCTTAACCCCGAAGTGCATAACTTTGCATTTCTCTATGTTAAATTTCATCTGCGATTTTAGTGCCCAACCCCCCAATCTATCTAAATCCCTCTGCAGCAAAGCAATATCCTGCTCACATTTTATTACTTTACAAAGTTTTGTGTCATCTGCAAACACTGATACATGGCTTTCAATGCCTATTTCAAAATAATTTATAAAACTTTTTTTTAAATGTTGTTATGGTGCCTGGAGTTTCCTTTGAACTGTGGTTTTGAATGATCCTGTCTTATGATTGTATAGTCACCTAGTTTTTACCTTTTGACCCACATTTGTTTTGGCAAAGCTCAGGATAAGTGATATGTCGTAACTTAAAGTAGCTCTCCCCCCGCCCCCCGAATGCTACAATGCACTCTTATCAATCTTCTTCAAAATAGACAAAAGCTAACACAGACTGTCTCTCTGAGATAATAACGCTCTGGTATTCTCGTTCTCAGTGAGTCAGTCTTGGCTGATTACCTTAATTACTGCGCATGTTACAGGGCTGACTCTTTATGTATCGGCACTACAGAGGTCAAATGTCATGAACTCTCAATATAAGTGATTGGGGTCATAAATACTTTAATCTTCCTCATATAAAAGAGTAGTTAAAAATAATATATTAATAAATAGTAATAAATAATATATTTATTTGACTTTCGTTTTTATATTATTTTTAACTGTTGAGATATGAGTTTTTCTTTGTGAAGGTGGGTCGTTTGTGAATTGCATCACAATAATTTTTTTTTTTAATTCTTTATTTTTGCGTGCATGTGAATTACAGTCGTTTTGTCAATGCCCCAACAGTAGTGACAAACATTTGATTAGGCATAGCGTAACATTTAGAATCATTTGATTATATAGCACATTTTTAAGTATAATGCGATTATCAGGTACAGACTAACTTGCATGTTCTGTTTTGAGTTTAAATAATGGATGGTTCATCTTTAAGCGTTAAATGTAAGCGGGTTATTTAGGTTAATAACAGAGTGTTCAAGCTTGTATATGATTTTACACTGACATTCACTGACAACATGAGAAACCACTGGGAACAAACAGTGCTTATAGTGATATCTATCTTAGCCGTGAGGGAAGACAGTGGGTCTAAGGATAAGGGAGCTACCATCTCGCTTACTGCTACATGTATAGGTTTGCATGGGGTTTGGCTGCTAGTGGGGTGTAACGACCGACATAACTGGGCGATAAGTAATTACGTGGTATGCATAGTCCAGACAGCGACTGCTGAGAGCAGGTCCCCAGGATGCTAGGGTGGTATGTCCAGAGAGGTATGGTAGCGGGTGCTTTAGCTGATGCCCAGGGCAGGGAAGTCTCTCTCATAGTTGCAGTGTGTCTTTTCGATGGTGCCCCTGCACCAGCTTTGACCTGTAGTATGTGCAGCCGCACAGCTACTAGGTTTGCAGCGTTGATTGTAGAGGGTAGGGTCGTGCTGCGCTGCCTGCCGATTTTCGGGTCGAGTGGGGTGTTTGGTGTAGTGCTTGTTTGGTGGTCCAGCACCTGTGCTGTTGTGAGTGGGAGCATGCACCTCAATAATATGCTTCCCGCCTTGAGGATCGCTGATGCCTGTGTTTCCTGATGGGCGCTCTGGAAGCTTGAGGTAAGTGCCTGTAGTTGTGACGTCGTGTTGCTGGGCGTATCCATGCAGCCACGGTTTTTATCGTTATGTGATAAGCCATTCCGCGGCAGTACAGCGTGTCCCAGAAGCTTGTACAGAGCCGGTCAAAAGATCCCAGAGGGTGTGTGGGTGGCTGAGTGTTTGTGCACCATGTTTTAGGCCTGTGCTGGGCGGCCATCTTGTCTGCGCCGCGTTGGTTGGGTGCCTCTGTGTGCTGTGTAGTCAGTAAGTCTGCCCTCCTGCCTTATCAATTTGTCCAGTGAGGACCGGGATATCCCCCACCGGTCCAAAGTGGGGGGGGTGATGGTATGATGGCGCTTGAAGGCTCTGGCTTCAGGGAGAGCGGCCGCCTCTCTCGAGCTCTTACCCCAGTAGGCCACACGTGGATTCCTGCTTCCCTAGCTCCGACGGGCTCCAGGGTGTGATCAGTCGGTTCAGTGGTGCACCCCCGATGGGGATGGTGCACCCCAGAGGATCCTTGGGCTGTGTGTCCGCTGCTTTTGTACCAATTTCTGCCCGCTGTGCAGGAGCTCGTGCTATACACGTCTACACGGCTCGGTGGTCAGGCTCCGCCCCGCATCACAATAATTTAAAACCACAATGACAATTATTGTTTAAAGAAAATCTTTGGAAGTCAATCAGAACCTGAGATTCAAGTTTGTGAACTGTTTAACTCCCAACATTCCTCTGTGTAGGGGGAGGAAATGATTGACCGACCTGTTTCGAGACATTTATTTCAAGGGGACACTATAGGCACCAAGACCACTTCAGCTCATTGAAGTGGTCTGGGTGCAGTGTCCCTGTCCCACTGACTTACTAGTTTTTGAGAAACTGCAATAATTACATTGCAGGACTAAGACTGCCTCTAGTGGCTGTCAATGAGGACATCCAGCGTGAGTTATATCCATTGCTTCAATATTCTCCTATGTGGAGGACCTAATGTGCCTTTGATGCTTGCGTATAAGCCCCACTTGTCGAATGACAACAGAAGAGACGGAGCACCAACCCAGTGCCGAGGGAGACTGGCTCTGGAATAGAGTGAGTACAAAAAGTGTTTTTGAACCCTTTTGAGATGTGTGTGGTAAGGCAGGGGTGCGAGGCGGGGAGGGGGGGAGGGAGCAGAGAAAACTATATTGTATTCCTTACACTATAGAATCCAATTAAATGAACCGACTAATACTATATCACAAAGTAAAGATTTTTCAACAATTAAAAAAAATAATCAGCAGTGAGTATAGGAAGTTTTTAAAAATAATATATGACTGCACAAGACAAATGTCAATGACAATCATGCGTGTAATATTAAAACCAAAACATCTAGATTTTACAGATACAATATTAAAGAAAAAGAATCCCTAGAGTATTCCTTATCATACACAGACCTTTAATATTTCACATTTTATAACATGTGTTTAAATGACGAATTGGATATCTCATTCCTTCTAACCTGAAATGGCTTTACAATAGGTCAGAGGTCATTAATTAGCCAAGGTCTGCTTAGTTTCGTTAACAGGGTGGCAGGGGGAAGTTATTAATAATCAATCAGAAAACTTAAATGCTGGAACTAATAGAGCCCAAAACGTAACATCTGTTTTAGGGTTAAGGTAAGTGCCCCAAAAACACTAATGACATTAAGGATGGTTTTACTCTTTATTCTGAATGGTAAACGTTTCATTTCCTGTTGCCGAGAGAGCCAGATGCACGGAACACCTGTTACACGGCTTGCAAGTGGCAGCTCTAATATTTAGGATGAAGAACGAGGATTGTAAAATTCTACCAGCAAGTTGTGGCTTGCACCACGGATGCAGCAGGTTACGAACACACAGAGACGCATTATATCATTGTACTTCACTGAACACTCACTTTCAAAATTACTCTACTGAATAAAATATTAAATATCACCTATAACTTGTCTTAACCTTTTTTTTCTAAGATGTTCTGTTTTCTTTAATAAGTGTATTAACACTTTTAGCCAATGATATGACAAAACAGCTCTGTCCAGGCACGGCCAAGGCACACAATGCAAATGAGGAGGAGAAAAAGATACATTGATTCATTTCTCCCCTTCTCTGTGCTGACTGCCAGGTGCAAAGGACAGAACTTATAGCAATGATTGCAGGAAGCTAAGATGGAGGCGCCCAGCTGCTGGATAAAAAGCTGTGAATTTCCACATTTAATGTTATTTTTTTCACATCTCACTTATATGTTTTTAGTGAACATAGAAGACAGGCAAACATAACATTAAAAATCCTTTGAAGTGACAGTTCGCCTGTAATGTTATATTAAGCCCAAAACAAAAAAATAAAGTAGCAATACATTTTCATTTTAGATTTTCTTTACTTTCTAAGAAGGACATTGATAAAGAATTTATGTTACTTCCAGACTTGTCTAAGTTCCGTTTATAGGGGGTTAATTAAAACATGATATAAGATCAGTGCTGTTTCACCATCATGCAAAATGAACCAACCAATATCATAAAGGCTCTTAGCAACGTGACTGACCCATGGCCAGGAGCATACAGTGTCAGTAAGCATGCTTAGTACCCGCTTTATTGATTTTAATGGTTTTACCATTATCTGCTCGATGCTACTAATATTCCCAATGATAAATTGGGTGTTAAATAGACCTCTTGCATCCCTAGAAAAGACAATTCCTTATTTCCCGATACAATCAAAGCACTTATTGCTGTGAATAGTGCAGACAATGTACGTAAAAACACACTTACTTCGACAGCACTTCTGTGTCCATGAATGCAGCGGTGTGTTTGTATGTAGTGTTATTGTGTGGATGCAGGGGTAGTGTTTGTATGTAGTGTTATTGTGTGGATGCAGGGGTGTGTTTGTATGTAGTGTTATTGTGTAGATGCAGGGGTGTGTTTGTATGTAGTGTTATTGTGTGGATGCAGGGGTGTGTTTGTATGTAGTGTTATTGTGTGAGTGCAGCGGTGTATTTGTATGTAGTGTTATTGTGGGAGTGAAGGGGTGTGTTTGTATGTAGTGTTATTGTGTGGATGCAGGTGTATGTTTGTATGTAGTGTTGTTGTGTGGATGCAAGGGTGTGTTTGTATGTAGTGTTATTGTGTGAGTGCAGGGGTGTGTTTGTATGTAGTGTTATTGTGTGAATGCATGTGTGTTTGTATGTATGTAGTGTTATTGTGTGGATGCAGGGGTGTGTTTGTATGTAGTGTTATTGTGTGAGTTCAGCGGTTTGTTTGTTTGTATGTAGTGTTATTGTATGGATGCAGGGGTGTGTTTGTATGTAGTGTTATTGTGTGGATGCAGGGGTATGTTTGTATGTAGTGTTATTGTGTGAATGCAGGGGTGTGTTTGTATGTAGTGTTATTGTGTGGATGCAGGGGTGTGTTTGTATGTAGTGTTATTGTGTGGATGCAGGGGTGTGTTTGTATGTAGTGTTATTGTGTGGATGCAGGGGTGTGTTTGTATGTAGTGTTATTGTGTGGATGCAGAGGTGTGTTTGTATGTAGTGTTATTGTGTGGATGCAGGGGTGTGTTTGTATGTAGTGTTATTGTGTGAGTGTAGCCGTGTGTTTGTATGTAGTGTTATTGTGTGAATGCAGGGGTTGTTTGTATGTAGTGTTATTGTGTGAATGCAGGAGTGTGTTTGTATGTAGTGTTATTGTGTGAGTGCAGGGCTGTGTTTGTATGTAGTGTTATTGTGTGAATGCAGGGATGTGTTTGTATGTAGTGTTATTGTGTGAGTGCAGTGGTGTGTTTGTATGTAGTGTTATTGTGTGGATGCAGTGGTGTGTTTGTATGTAGTGTTATTGTGTGAGTGCAGGGGTGTGTTTGTATGTAGTGTTATTGTGTGAGTTCAGCGGTTTGTTTGTATGTAGTGTTATTGTGTGGATGCAGGGGTGTGTTTGTATGTAGTGTTATTGTGTGTTTGCATGTAGTGTTATTGTGTGGATGCAAGGGTGTGTTTGTATGTAGTGTTATTGTGTGAGTTCAGCGGTTTGTTTGTATGTAGTGATATTGTGTGGATGCAGGGGTGTGTTTGCATGTAGTGTTATTGTGTGGATGCAAGGGTGTGTTTGTATGTAGTGTTATTGTGTGAGTTCAGTGGTTTGTTTGTATGTAGTGTTATTGTGTGGATGCAGGGTGTGTTTGTATGTAGTGTATTGTGTGATGCAGGGGTGTGTTTGTATGTAGTGTTATTGTGTGGATGCAGGGGTGTGTTTGTATGTAGTGTTATTGTGTGGATGCAGAGGTGTGTTTGTATGTAGTGTTATTGTGTGGATGCAGGGGTGTGTTTGTATGTAGTGTTATTGTGTGAGTGTAGCCGTGTGTTTGTATGTAGTGTTATTGTGTGAATGCAGGGGTTGTTTGTATGTAGTGTTATTGTGTGAATGCAGGAGTGTGTTTGTATGTAGTGTTATTGTGTGAGTGCAGGGCTGTGTTTGTATGTAGTGTTATTGTGTGAATGCAGGGATGTGTTTGTATGTAGTGTTATTGTGTGAGTGCAGTGGTGTGTTTGTATGTAGTGTTATTGTGTGGATGCAGTGGTGTGTTTGTATGTAGTGTTATTGTGTGAGTGCAGGGGTGTGTTTGTATGTAGTGTTATTGTGTGAGTTCAGCGGTTTGTTTGTATGTAGTGTTATTGTGTGGATGCAGGGGTGTGTTTGTATGTAGTGTTATTGTGTGTTTGCATGTAGTGTTATTGTGTGGATGCAAGGGTGTGTTTGTATGTAGTGTTATTGTGTGAGTTCAGCGGTTTGTTTGTATGTAGTGATATTGTGTGGATGCAGGGGTGTGTTTGCATGTAGTGTTATTGTGTGGATGCAAGGGTGTGTTTGTATGTAGTGTTATTGTGTGAGTTCAGTGGTTTGTTTGTATGTAGTGTTATTGTGTGGATGCAGGGTGTGTTTGTATGTAGTGTAATTGTGTGAGTGCAGTGGTGTGTTTGTATGTAGTGTCATTGTGTAGATGCAGGGGTGTGTTTGTATGTAGTGTTATTGTGTGGATGCAGGGTGTGTTTGTATGTAGTGTTATTGTGTGAGTGCAGGGGTGTGTTTGTATGTAGTGTTATTGTGTGGATGCAGTGGTGTGTTTGTATGTAGTGTTGACAGTTAAATGTTGGTGTGCATATGTGTTTTGTGTTGGTGTTTAGATGCAGGAGTGTGCTTATGAGTAGTGTTGTTGTGTAAATTCAGAGATGCATTTGTATGTAGTATTATTGTGTGAATGCAGGTGTGTGCTAGTGTGTAGTGTTGTCAATTGAATGCAGGCGGTGTTTGTATGTAGTGTTGGTGTGTGAATGCAGTGGTATATTTGTGTGAAGAGTTGGTGTTTGAATGCTGAGATGTATGCACAGAGACAGATACAGTGCCACACACTAATACATGCACACACATCCACTGACACACATACATACACAGACACACTGGGACACACAAACACATACACAGATATACACACATATACAAGCCACAATTTACATACTGGTTGGCTTCTCTG